AGCTTTGGAGTGAAAAGTTCTATACATTGCAATTAAATCTATCTGATCCAGTGTGTCCTTTAAGGGCACTGTTTCTTTTTAAATTTTTGTCTGGAAGATCTATCCAGTGAAGTCAGTGGGTGTTAAAGTCTCCCAATGTGACTGCATTATTATTTTTTTTAATCTCTTCCTTAACGTCCTCTAGAATATTTTTTATATATTTAGGTGCTCCTATATTGGGTGCATATATGTTTACCAGGGTTATATTCTCTTGTTGGATCAATCCTTTTAGTATTATGTAGTGACCTTTGTTGTCTCTTGTGATGGCCTTTATTTTGAAGTCTATTTTGTCAGATGTGAACATTGCTACCCCAGTTGTTTTTTTCTCTTTTCATTTGCATGGGAAAAATTTTTTCAGTCCCTTCACTCTCTTCCTATGTGTGTCTTTTTTTCTAAGGTGGATGTCTTGTAGACAGCATATAATTGGGTCATGTTTTCATATCCATTCAACTACCCTACACCTTTTGATTGGAGCATTTAATTCATTTACATTTAGGGTTATTGTTGATAGGTACTTATTTATTGCCATGTTAATTCTGTATGTCTCTGTTTCTTCTTCTCATTACAGCATTTCCTTTAGCATTTCTTGTAATGCTGACTTAGTGGTGATGAATTCCTTAAGCCTTTTTTTGTCTGGAAAACTCTTTATTTCACCATCTATTTTGAATGATAGCCTTGCTGAATATAGTAATTTTGGTTTCAGGTTTTTGCTTTTCATTACCTTGAGTACTTCATGCCATTTCTTTCTGGCCTGTAGAGTTTCTGATGAGAAATCAGGTGTCAGCTTTATGGGAGCTTCTTTGTAGGGAACAAATTGCTTTTCCCTTGCTGCCTTTAAGATTCTTTCTTTGTCTTTAATTTTTGGCATGTTAATTGTCATGTGTCTGGGTGTGGGCCTGTTTGGGTTCTTCCTGCTTGGAACTCTCTGTGCCGCCTTAATTTGTGTGACTTTTTCCTTCACCAGGTGAGGGAAGTTTTCTGCCATTATTTCATCAAACATGTTCTCTATCCCCCTTTCCCATTCTGCCTCTTCTGGCACACCTGCTATGTGAATATTGTTACGTTTCACATTGTCCCACAGCTCCCTTAAGCTGTCCTCTTGCTTGTTTGTTTTATTTTATTTTTTAATCCTCACCTGAGGATATTTTCCCATTGATTTTTTAGAGAAAGTGGAAGAGAGAGGGAAAGACAGAAATATTGATATGATTATGCTGAGTGAAATAAGCCAGTCAATGAAAGAGAAACACCACATGACCTCATTCATTTATGGATAATAAAGAACATTATAAACTGAACCAAAAGATAGATATAGAGATAGTAAAGCAACAAGCAGACTGTCAAATTACAGCGGGGAGGGTAGGAAGATCTGGGGGAGATAATAGATCAACTGAAGGACTTGTATACATGCATATAAGTACAACCAATGGACACAAAACTCTGGGGATGGAGGGTATGTATGGGGGGGCAATGGTAAGATATGTACACAGATAATAATTTAATAAAAATAAATAAATAAATAAATAAATAAATAAATAAATAATAAATAAAAAATGAAGGAAAAAAAAAAAGAAATATTGATGTGAGAGAAGGACATCATTTGGTTGTCTCCTACAAGAGCCCCGACCAGAGCCCAGGCCAGAGAGGAGCTTGCAACCAAATTACGTGTCCTTGACTGGAATTGAACCTGGGACCTTTTGGTCCAGAGGCTGATGTTCTGTCCACTGAGCCAAACTGGCTAGGGCTGTCCTCCTGTTTTTTAATTATGTTTTCTTTTTGATTCTCCAATTGAATTATTTTTTTCAACTCAGTCTTCTATTTTACTGATCTGATCCTCAGCTTCCCTTAATCTTCTGTGTATTCTTTCCAATTTGTTCTTTATTTGTGCTATGTAATTCTTTATTTGTGTTTTCCTAGTTACTATATCTTTTCTCATGCTGTTGAGCATCTTTACTATCAGTATTCTGAACTCTGTATCAGATAAATTTCTTTGTTTCATTTATCTCTTCTAGAGAATTCTCTTGTTCTTCCATTTGGGGTTGTTTTTTTGTCTCCTCATTTTGGTTGCCTGTTTGGGTTTGTGACTATGTAATTAGTAGATCTAATACGCCTCTCAGTCTCCAGTACAGGACAGTGTCAAATGCTGTTTCTGACTAATTAGATCAGGCAAAGTCTCAAAACTTCCAGTGTCTGCCTATGTTTGCAGACTGATTGAATTTAGTATTCACTAGCCCTCCATCAATTGCCCATGGATACGAAGAGGGTTTTGTTGTTGTTGTTATTTTTCTAACAGGGTTGGATGATTGTTTCTGCCTGGAGGCTAATTGTTATTCTTAGTCTCTTAATGGGATTCAGCAACTCCACACCAAGGTGTTTTCCAATAGGGTGGGTCAGCTGTTTCTCCCCCCCTCCCCCCCAATCCCAGCAACACTGCCTAGATAGCAATTGTCAGTCTCTATGGGGTCTCCACTTTTGGTTCTCAGTTGTCAGGGTTCTTTCTAGCAAGTCTTCAGTTGATTATTTAGGAAGTTTTTCTGTATTTTACTTGTAATTCCAGTTTGGTCCTGGAGCATCCACTTACTCTTTCACCATTTTTGATCCTTCCTGGATACTATTTTTTTTCAATCCATTCAGCCAATTCATTATGTCTTTTGATTTAGTAGTATAATCCATTTTCAAGAAATTACTGATAAGAAAGGACTTATGGTTACTTTTTGTCCCTCTCTCTCTACCTTCCTTTTGTTTCACTGAATTTTGTCCTGATGTGCTTTGATTTCTTTCTCATTTCTTTTTGTGTACATTTTATAGTAATTTTCTTTATGGTTACTATTGCAATTATATAAACTACATTAGAGTTATACATTTGATTTTGAACTGATAACCTCAATTGCATATAAAAATTCTACTCCTTTACAGCTCCTCTTCTACCCCAGTCTGTTATTGATATCAGAAATGACATAATTATTTATACATTGTATACTCATTAATAAATGTTTATAGTTTTAAAATATTCTTTTCATTTAAATTTTATGTACAAAAATTACAACAGATCATGTTATCATATTTGTCCATGCATTTACCTTTACTGAGAACCTTATAATTTTTGGACAGTTTCTGTTGCTCTCTACCATCTTCACAATTTCAAGGAATCCTTTAAACATTTCTTATAGAGCAGCTCCAGTGGTAATGCACACTTTTCTTTAGTTTACTTGGGAAAATCATAATTTCTTCATTTTATGACAGCTTTCCTGGATACAATATTCTTGGTTGACAGTTTTTTTCCTCTTAACATATTAAGTATATCAACTCATTACTTTTTATTATTACTAGAGGCCCAGTGCATTAATTCCTGCATGGATAGGGTCCCTTGTTCTGGCCAGTGATTGGGGCCAACTGGGGCTGTCTGGCTGGGGGGAGGGACTGTGGGAGGTTGGCCAGCCACAGGAAGCTGGCTGTGGGAATGCACTGACCACGAGGGGTCAGCTCCTGAGTTGAGCATCTGCCTCCTGGTGGTCAGTGTGCATCACAGTTGCCATTCGATCATCTGGTTGTAATGGTCACTTAGGTTTTTATATATATAGACTAGAGGCCCAGTGTATGAATTCATGCACGAGTGGGATCTGGCTGGCTCAGCCCCAGTCAAGGTGGATCAGGGCTGGGCCTGTCAGGAGGAGGAGACGACGGGAGGTTGGCCAGCTTACCTGCCCCGATCTGGGCACAATCAGGACTGAACTGGCTGGGAGGAGGGGCCACGGGTGATTGGCTGATGGTCCCTGCTCCTGATTGGGGTGGGTGGGCCAATTGGGGGTGGAGCTGGCCATTGGGAAGGGCTGTGGGTGGTGGGCCAGCTTACCCTGCCCCCAAATGAAGGGGCCAATCCAGGGTCAGTGGCTGGGGGAGGGGCCATGGGCAGTTGGCCAGCCAGTCCCACTCCCAATTGGTGTGTGTGGAGCAATTGGAGGTGGAGCTGGCCAGGGGGAGGAGCTGTGGGCTGTGAGCTAGCTGGCCCCATTGGGGGCCAGTGGCCAGAGGAGACTATGGGAGCTTGGCTGGCCAGCCTCATCCATGATTGGTATTGGGGGCCAATTGGAGGTGGAGCTGGCTGTGGGGAGGGGCTATGGGCTGATCAGGGTGGTGGGGGCTCATTGGGGTGGGGCTGACTGGGGAGGGGCTTCAGGAGGTTAGCCGGCATCCCCACCCCTTGATCTGGCGGTTCACTGGCCGCAGTGGGCGTCAGAGTGACTGGTTGTTCCAGTCGCTCTGGCGTTCTGGTCACTGGCTTTTATATAGATAGATAATGGACCTCAGTGTGGTTCTTTTTGTTTTTTAATCCTCACCCAATGATATGTTTTAGAGGAGAGGAAATGAGAGAGAGGGAGAGAGAGAGAGAAACAACAATGTGAGAGAGAAACATTGATCAGTACATACCCTGACAGAGGATCAAACCTGTCACCTTTTTGGTGTAGGGACGATGCTCCAACGAACTGCTACCTGGCCAGGGCTCGTTCATTTTCAATGTACCCTAGCTGACGTTTCTTGAGCTTCTCAAATTTGTATGTCCATTTCTTTACTCAGATTTAGGGAGTTTACAGCCATTATTTCCTCAAATAAGCTCTGTTCTGTAGGACTTTCATCAAGAATATATTGGTCTTTTTGTTAGTGTCCCATAACTTCCTTAGGTTCTCTTTGTTTTTATTCATTCTTTTTTCTTTTTGCTCCTGTGACTTGATGATTTCAAATGACCTATCTTCAAGTTTTCTGAATCTTCTGCCTGATAAGATTTGGTGTTAAAGTCCTCTTGTTTATAGTTTCTATATCCTTGTCAATCTTCTCCACGTTCCGAGCCCAGCAGCCCCCTCTGGCCTCATAGCACCCCGAGTCTTCCCTGGTGCAGAGCGGGCGGCCTGTCAGCTCTGCTCTCCAAGGCTCACCTTTCCCGTCAGCTCTGGCTCCTCTCTCCGCAGTGCTCCAGGGCCCAGGAGCTGCTCCACATCGCCCAGGAGCTCCTGCACACCGAGGAGACCTACGTGAGGCGGCTGCACCTGCTCGACCAGGTAGCCTCTGATGGGGGCACATCTCGTCTACGTTCAGAGTGTCGTGGGCAGTTTCACAGGCAAACTCCCTATCTTCACAGTGCCTGGGCCTTATATTCGGAATACAAATGACTATATTAAAACTCAGACAAGCTTAAGGACTCGCTTTTAGAGCTTGTGGCCGAGGGGCAAAGGTCCTGCCTGGCCCCCTTGCGGGATTTTACTCCTTATTCCTGGCAGTCTCATCACATGAGCATGCGCACGGCCCCTGGACATCTTTCTGAATAAACAGTGGGACTGTGGGTGGCGCTTTCTCTGTCCATGTGACAACATGGGATTGATGAGCCAGGGTGTAACAGGTGTTGCTTCTGTTTGTGGCTCACAGTGGAGAGGGAAGCTGGGACCTGCCATTTCCCGTGGAGGTGGTTGGAGGAAGGACGGCCTGTCCCCTCCCGCCTCATCCCCGTCCTTAGGGCTATTGTGTAAGACCAGGCCATTGGAGCGCTTGCGGAATGGAGGTTTATTAAGGAAAGCAGAGGCGTCAGCCCCCCCGGGCACCCCACCCGCAGAAGCAATGTGGCGGCACCACGGTGACCTCTCAGTGACCTTTGTGTGCCCAGGTCTTCTGCGCCCAGCTGACGGCAGCAGGAGTCCCTCCGGAGGTCACCACCGGCGTCTTCTCGAACATCTCCTCCATCTACCGCTTCCACGGGCAGTTCCTCCTGCCCGCGCTGCGGACGAGGATCACGGAGGAGTGGTGAGTCCCCCACGGCGCCTGGGGGCGGGCCAGCCTCTCCGGGAGCTGGCTCTACCGGCTGGCAGCTGATGGTCCTGGTGATGGTGCCTCGGTGCTGCTGTTTCTTAATTCTCTTTGCCAAGCGGCTTCTAAATCTGGGCGGTTTATGTCTTAAGAAGCCAGGGCATTTGGGTCTGCTTCCCAGCCCTGACCTCGGCGACCCACACCACTAGGCCCTCCTAGCCTTCCTTCTTCACTGGAAAGCAGGGGGACCTGCCGAGGCTTCCCGGGATTAAGTGGGGGCAGAGCTGCAAGCACCAAACAGCCAGCGCACGGAGCCTTTTCCTCTGGGCGATTCCTCCTCCGGGCGGGTCCCTTCTGCTCACGCCGCTTGCGGTCACACTCACAGACCCGCCCGCCCGCCCGCCCGCCGGCCTGTTCTGCTCTGGGCCAGGCCTTCAGCTTTGGGCTGTGGTGTCCGCCGCTCCCCTCCGCTGCCCTCAGAGCCTCCGTGCCGGGCCCCTCCCCACCAGCACTGGCTGGACACCGGGTCCGTGTGTCCATCTTCAGAGGGACAGGCCCCTACGGAGCAGGCACCCAGGCCTTTGGGTCCGAGCTCAGGGCTGGGCTGGGTTCTGGCTTACAGTCCTCTGGGCAGGAGATTTTCTCCTCCAGGCGGGAAGGCCGTCCTGCGCCGCGGCTGCTGGGCGGGAGCAGCGCAGGGGCAGTGCCCGCCGCTCCGGCTGGGCCTTGCTGGAGCCCCGGGCACATTTCCGGCGAGGCCACGGTGGCTGGCTTTGTCTGTGTGCCTTTTTCCTTTTTTACGATGAATTATTTAGTGCCAATCCCTCACAGCTCTAAGATCAAAGAATATTAATTTACATTGGTGCGTTTCGTGGCTTATTTCTCGCCCCCGACCCAGTCAGTGTCGGGATGCGCAGTTCCGCCGGCACCCGTGCTCACCGCTGCTCAGTGGGAGGGTGCCGTGGGTCCTCGCTTCTCTCTGATGCCCAGCTCCCCACGCGGCCTGGTGTGGCCCGGCTCTGTGCCTGCCTTTGCCATCCGGCATCTGCTATTTGCTTCTCCCTGTGAGTTGGGAAAGCAGACACCGCCCCCTCCTCACCCCGTGCAGCCCCTCTCACCTGCCCCCTCACCAGTGGCCTCTCTGACGATCTCGATCTCGCTCCCCACACAGGGACGGGAACCCGCGGTTCGGGGACATCCTGCAGAAGCTGGCCCCGTTCCTCAAGATGTACGGCGAGTACGTCAAGAACTTCGACCGGGCGGTGGAGCTGGTGAGCGCCTGGAGCCAGCGCTCACCCCTCTTCCGGGACGTGGTGCAGGGCATCCAGGTAGGCCTGGCATCCAGGTAGGCCTGGCATCCAGGTAGGGCCTGAGAGGCGGCGAGGGGCTGGGCTCCACGTGGGACTGGGGCCAGGCAGGCCGTGGCCAGATGCACTGTGGACGCTTTGAGTCATAAACTAACTCCCAGGGACAAACCATCCTTCCTGTGTCACCGGTGGGGGAACCGTGGCTCAGAGCCGTGCGATCTGTGTCCCAGGGTGAGGGCCGGCGCAGGCGACTGGGACGATGCCACTAAGCGCTTCCCGTTTCTGCAACGTCATGGCTGCTGCTGTCTCCGCTGTGTCGCCCTTTTCTGTGTTGATTCCTGAGGTTTTTATGTTAAGAATGTTAACTGCCATCTGTCACGTGTGTTACTAATGATTTTCCTATTGATTAAAAAAAAAATTTTTTAGCTTATTGATGTTTTCTATACAAAATTTTTGGTTTTTAATTAGCCATATTTGCCAAAGTAATACTTTAAAAAGTCTTTAAAGTAACGCTTTTAAATGCACGTCCTCAGGGGGCACCGCTCAGCCAGAAGCTGGCTCACGGCTGGCCAGCCCAGTGGCGGTGGTGGCGCCTCTCGCCTCCGCGGCAGCGCTAAGGATGTCCGACTGAGGGCTTAGGCCGGGCCCTGCGGGCTGCCGGACCGAGAGAGGGCGCAGGCCGGGCTGCCGGGCCCCCCCGCCCCGCCACCGCCAAGTGCACACACTTTTTGTGCATTGGGCCTCCAGTAATAGTCGTACAGCTGTAGCGGAGGAAGCTGGAATCTGTCTAACCTGCACTGGGCGTGGTGTCTGACTGGCTGTCCTGAGGAAGAAGAGAGAAAAGGCAGCACAGGCTCCCTCTGGTGCGGCTCCGCACAGCCCGTGACCGCCGCCAGCCTCTGGGCTGTGGCCAGGCCCGGGCGGTGCCGAGGGCGCCTCCTGGCGGGGGCAGCCGTCTTCGCTGCTCACTCCGCAGGTCTGCAGCCCCCGAGTGGCTGCACACGGGGGTGGGTGACCAATGTGTTGTCACAGGCAGACATGGTCCGGGTCCAGCCGGGCTGGACACTGCTTCCCACACCCTGGACAGACTGGGCCGTGGGTGGTGCGTGATGGGGGCTCCGCCCCAGGGCAGCACGGTCTGCGGCCGTCAGAGGCCGCCCACCCCAGGCCCTGCGGCGTGGCACCTTCGTGGGTGAGACCGGGGTGTTCTGGGTGCCTGGGCACAGGGACCCTCCCTCCCCCCGCTAGCTGAGGGCCCGTGTAGACAAACCAGGGGTGGTGTGGCCTTTGGAGGGCCCCTAGGTTCCATCCGAAGCATGGCCTGAACTTTCAGAATTTTTATTTTGAAATAATTTCACATCTTAAATGGGGAACTGTTCACATTCTGTCTTGTTTACTTTACAGTCTTTCCAACCACACACACGGGTCATTAGTTTTGAACCTTTAGACGAAGTAACAGCTGTGCAGCCACTGCAAGTCCCGCTCCCCGGCCACCTGGCACCATGCTGTCCCTGCCCTGCAGACGCACCTGCTGTCCAGTGTGCTTCATCCTCTGGTCCACCTGTCAGCCAGGACCCCGTCCCTGTCCCAGTCCCTGTCTCCTTCCCCATCCCCATCCCATCCCAGTTCCCATCCCCATCCCCATCCCCATCCCATCCCCATCCCCATCCCATCCCCGTCCCCGTCCCCATCCCTGTCCCGGCCCCATCTCCATCCCCGCCCCATCCCCATCCCCGTCCCCATCCCATCCCCGTCCCCATCCCCATCCCCGTCCCATCCCCGTCCCGTTCCCGTCCCGTCCCATCTCCATCCCCCGTGCCCGTCCCATCACCATCCCATCCCCGTCCCCGTCCCCGTCTTTATCTCCATCTGTGTCTCCGTCTCCGTCTCGGCCTCGCCCCTGTCACTCCTGCAGGAGACAGCAGCCACCATCTGGGTTGGTCCGTGGGTTCTCCACGCAATGAGCGCCCTGTCCTCTCTGGGGGACAATCTCCGACAGCCCACTGCTGGGGTGCTCCTGCGATTCGGGGTGCTGCCAGCCCCTAGGGAGCCAGCCTCTGAGCTCCTTTCCACATGCGAGGGTGTGTGGGGGGTGGGAGGGTGGGGTGGGGGGGAGGCCGGACAGCGAGGGGCCAGCTCGGCACCCGGGGTTGGTCCGGGCCGGTGCTGGGGGCCAGGAGGTTGTGTTGAGGGAAGGGAGTGGGAGCCTGGGGTGCCGCGCCCAACCACACGCTGTCCGTGGGGAGGAGGCAGGCGGACCAGGGCTTCCCTTGGGGGGAAGCTCCTGACCTCGTGGGGGGCAGGGCTCAGTCAGGAATGCGGCGGGGACCGCACCCATGAGGGAAGGCGGGGTCTCTGTCCAGGCGCCTGTGCGAGAGCCAGCAGCAGCCGGGCTGTCCTGGCGCCACTGCCCGCCTCCCGCCTCGGGGCTCCTGAGGGCGGCGGGGCCCAGGCCCACGGCCGTGCGTCTGTCCCGCAGAAGCAGGAGGCGTGCGGGAGCCTGACGCTGCAGCACCACATGCTGGAGCCCGTGCAGAGGGTGCCCCGCTACGAGCTGCTGCTCAAGGACTATCTGAAGCGGCTGCCGGCGGACGCCCCGGACCGGCCGGACGCCGAGAGTGAGAAGCCGAGGCCGCGGCTCCTGGCGGCGGGGAGACGGCCACAGGGACCCGGACGCCGGGAGGGAGAGGCAGACAGGGAGGGAGGGAGCTCCACGGGCCCCAAAATTTTGGGAGGCGACCGAGGGTCTTTGAGAGGGAGGAGGCCTGCTGTCCAGTGAGGGGAGACCCAGCCCTGGGAGGCGCTCAGTGCCCGGCTCAGGGAGGGCGCCGGGGTCACTCCTGGCCCAGCACAGCTGCGCACACAGGGCAGGGCATGCCCCTGGAATGAGGTGCGAGCCCAGGCCCCGCAAGCCAGTATGTCTGCAGCCACACCCTGCCCGCAGCCAGCCAGGCCTGGAGTAGCCCCGCTGGGACCGCGGGCGGGCAGGTCCGGGGGTGGAGGGAGGCGGAGGCGCCCTGAGCCACACTTCTCCCTGCAGAGTCCTTGGAGCTCATCTCCACGGCCGCCAGCCACTCCAACGCCGCCATCCGCAAAACGGTGAGTGGGCGGCGACCCAGAGGGGTGAGGGCCCCTCAATGCGGGGCAGGGAGAAGTGGGGGGCAGGTGCCTTCAGCGGGCTCACACACACCTGCCCCCGGTGGGCTCCATCAGTGCACACACACACACACACACACCTGTCCTGGGTGGGCTCCATCAGTGCACACACACACTCACACACACCTGTCCTGGGTGGGCTCCATCAGTGCACACACACACTCACACACACCTGTCCTGGGTGGGCTCCATCAGTGCACACACACACACACACACACACCTGTCCTGGGTGGGCTCCATCAGTGCACACACACACACACACACACACACCTGTCCCCGGTGGGCTCCATCAGTGCACATACACACTCACACACACACACACACACACACACCTGTCCCCGGTGGGCTCCATCAGTGCACACACACACTCACACACACACACTCACACGCACACGCACACACACACACACACACACACCTGTCCCCAGTGGGCTCCATCAGTGCACACACACACACACACACACACACACACACCTGTCCCCGGTGGGCTCCATCAGTGCACACACACTCTCACACACACACACACACACACACACACCTGTCCCCGGTGGGCTCCATCAGTGCACACACACGCACACACACACATGCCTGTCCCCAGGTGGGCCCCATCAGTGCACACCCACACACACACACACACACACACACACTCTCTTTCTCACACACACACACACACACACACACATGCATGCGTGCACGTGCACACACCTGTCCCCAGGTGGGCCCCATCAGTGCGCGCGCACACACACACACACACACACACACACACACACCTGTCCCCAGGTGGGCTCCATCAGTGAGCTCCATCAGGTGGGCTCCATAATCCCTCCCAACCTACCATCAACCTTGGCTACCAGACCTCCCCACGCTGCCCAAGCCACCAGCCGGCCCCTGGCCTCTGACCTGCCCTTCTCCACTCAGATTTCCCAGGGGCACCTATGCTGTCATTCTGTGTTCAGAACCCTCCTGCCTGCAACTGTCTTCCCAGTGCAAGCCAGCTCTCCACACACCAGGTGTCTGCCTAGCCCATCGGTACACCCAGTGCACACCCAGCCCCAGTACACCCAGTGCACACCCAGGTCCCAGTACACCCAGTGCACACCCAGCCCTCAGTACACACCCATCCCCCAGAACACCCAGTGCACACCCAGCCCCCAGTACACACCCACCCCCCAGTACACCCAGTGCACACTCAGCCCACAGTACACCCTATGCACACCCAGCCCCAGTGCACACTCAGCCCCCAGTACACCCTGTGCACACCCAGCCCCAGTACACCCAGTGCACACCCAGCCCAGTACACCAGTGCACACCCAGGGCCCGGGTCCATACAAAGCCCTTCAGCCCTCCCCTCCCGGTCCTCCTCGCTCTCAGTGCCAATTCCCTTCTTGTCCCCCCACCACATGGACCATCTGTTTCTGGAGCAAAAGCATGGGGCTGGCCAGCCAGTCTGCTCCTGTAGTCTCCAGGCTGCGATGACTCAGGCCAAGGGCAGAGGCTGCTGCAGCGTGCGGGTCAGGGTCCCAAGGGTGCCGCTGCCTCCACTGCGCCCCCCTCCCGCCTGGCTCAGGCCCCGTGGGAGGGACAGGCCAGGCCCCGGGCCTCTTGGCTCAGAGCTGGGGCCACAGTTGCGGACTCTCCCATCGCTCCCCTGGGCACCGGCTGGTCATGCAGCCACCAGCCCGCCCTGAGGCCAGAGGGAGGTGAGCGGCAGGCGATGGGGTCTGGGCTCTCCTTGGGCGGGGGAGCGGGAACAAGGCCTGAGGTCCCGCAGCCTGGCAGCCGCACAGCCCGGGCCTCTGTCCTGCAGGAGAAAATGCACCAGCTCCTGGAAGTGTACGAGCAGCTGGGCGGGGAGGAGGCCGTGGTGAACCCGGCCACCGAGCTGGTCAAGGAGGGCCCCATCCAGAAGCTGTCCGCCAAGACGGGCGCCGCCCAGGATCGCCACCTCTTCCTGGTGAGCCTTTACCCCGCCCCTGCCCCCCCCGCCCCCCTCTCCGAGGGCCTGGCAGCAGCCCGCCCTCATGCTGTCCCTCTGGAAGTTCAACAGCTCGGTCCTCTACTGCGTGCCCAGACCGCGGCTCCTGGGCCCGAAGTTCAGTGTCCGGGAGAAGATGGACATTTCCGACCTCCAGGTGGGTGAGCCGGCCCCCCTCCCGGGGCGGCACAGCAGGCTGGGGACACGCTGGCCCCGCTGTGAGCCTCTGGCCCTCAGCCACCCAGGCACATGGGGCTGCCCGAGGCGGCCGGGCTGCATGCTGTGGGCTTGGCCCCTCTGCCAGGCAGGTGCTGTGGGCTCACACTCCCAGGTGAAGGGTGGCCCAGGACCTTGGCCAGCCCCGGCCCCTGTGCGGTCAGTGCTCGGGGCCCCTGACACCTGCAGGTGAATCGAGGGGTGCCTGACTGTCCATGCTCGCCTCCTGCCCGCCTCTGGCCGCGGGCTCCGGGCCTCGCCTGAGCTGGCGGCAGTGCGGGGCTGTGGACCCACAGGAGCGCAAACATAACGACCAAATCAAAGTATCTGGTCCGTTCTGGAAAGAGAAGTTTTGCCCTAGTGATACAAAAAAATTCCTACTCTGAACTTCTCTGAATCCAGGTTTAAGAAATACCGTTAAAAGTAACGACTAACAACCACAGTTAGAAGAAACCAGTTTTCTGGTGTTTCCCTGTTAAAAAAAAAAAAAAGAAAGAAAGAAAGCGAAATCAGTGTGTGATGTAAGAGCAGCGGGCCCGCCTGGACTGCCCTGAGGCCCTGAGCAGCCCGCCCTGCCCCCGGGTGCTGCTCTGTCTGCGGTCACGCCCAGGCCGCCCGCCTGCCCGGAGCCAGGCGTCCTGCTGTGACTGCTTGGTGGGGACGCTCAGCAGGTCCAGGGCGGGGCGGGCAGGCAGGCTGGTGGGGAGAGGTCCTGGCTCTCCCTCCTCAGACCTGCCAGCGGCCCTCCTGGGCCCTGAGCCGGCTCCCAGGGCGCAGAAGGCCTCCGTGGGGAGCGCAGGACCGCAGTGCAGGCCGCTTGGGGACTGTTCCCTTCTGTCCTTGGCCGCGTGCCCGCAGGTACAGGACACCAGCCAGCCGCCGGCCGCCCCCACGTTCACGCTCACGGGAAGGAGCCGGGCCCTGGAGCTGCGCGCCCGGTAGGCTCAGCGGTGCAGCCTTCGCTCCGTCTTTGGCCGGGAATCTCAGCCCGCGACTTCTTTCCAAACCAGACGGCCTTCTGTGTGTTTCTATGTGTTCACTTGTTTGTGGTTTAAACTGTAACGGAATGAGGGGAGTCCATTAGGGCTAAGCCCCCTCCCCGCCCCTCACACGCCTGCAGGGTCTCTGTGCTCACACGTGTGCATCTGCTTTTAAAGTCACTGATGGCTGCTTACTGCACAGCCTGTTCTGCATCTTGCCTTTTTCACTTAATTTAACAGAAATCATCTTAATCAGAGCACCTTTCCTAAAGCAGTGTAGTTCTTCACGAGGGTCACGGACTGGCTCTCAGGCAGCCCAGGCCGCGGGGTCTGGCCACAGCACCCGCCCCGGGTGTGGTGCAGGGGCACTGGGTCTGCAGGTGGGCTCCATGCCAGGCCTGTGCTCGGACCGGTGACAGCGCGTGGGAGACCCTCCCTCCCACCCAGGGCTTGGTGATAGCCCAGGAAGCATTAGCTTACCTCCCCTGCAGAGGCCTCTGCATACCACACCTGCCACACCAAGCCACAGCTGACCCCACTGACCCCTGTGACCACACCTGCCACAGCAAACCACACCTGACCCCACTGACCCCTGTGACCACACCTGACCCCTCTGGCCACACCTGACTCCACCTGACCCCTGTGACCACACCTGACCCCTCTGGCCACACCTGACTCCACCTGACCCCTGTGACCACACCTGACCCCTCTGGCCACACCTGGCCCCCTGGCCAGTGTCCCGGGCCCTGCGGGCCATCTTCTGGGCCTGAAACTGCCCGTGGAGACAGCCAGGGTGCGGCTCCGGCAGGGAGGCGTCGGGCGGTTACTCAGGATCCGAGGCTGACGTCATAAAACCTGTTTCTGTTTCTCCGAGGACGGAAGAGGAGAAGAAAGAATGGATTCAGGTGAAGCCCCCAAAGCTTTAGAGCAGTGTTTCCCAAACTTTTGACGTATGTGTACCCCTTCTATAATCTTCGTAACACTGAGTACCCCTCGTACTCATGAGAACATAGAATTGGGCGCAGCTAAGCACGGTGCAGTGCATATCCCACCAAATTCCAGTGCAACGCGTACCCCCACCAACTCTTCCCGTACCCCTGGGGGTACGCGTACCGCACTTTGGGAAACACTGCTTTAGAGGAACCAAATCGCCTAATTCTGAGCAGGGCGGCCATTCCCTGTGGGAACACAGGCTTGAGTGACCCCAGGCAGGGCCCTGCCTCCTGCCTGGACGTGGTGGAGTGGCCACGTTCATAAGCGCCTCAGCCCCCAGGAGCCTTTCAATCTGCTTGCTTGGCCCCACCCACCTCCCTGTAAATAAAGAGACTAAAGAGCTGGCCAGCATGGCTCAGGGGTTGAACATTGACCTAGGAGCCAGGAAGTCGACCTCTGCTGCCTGCTGGCTCAGGGGGGCCACACTGCCCCTCCACAGCCCGGCAGGCCGAGCAGGACGAGGGGTGGGACTCACAGGATGGAGCCTGTGCTTCCGGGTGCCGGGCGGGGAGGCGGGCAGCACGCAGGCAGCACAGGGAGGCTGGAGGGGCCAGGCCAGCCACACACTAACTGTTAGAGACTGTGGCTTCCGAACGCTTAGGCAGGTCTCTGGGTGGGAGAGAAAGGAATTCGGAGATCAGGTGGAAATGTGATCCAGGCCTCACACCCACTGAGAGCACCCATGGCCTGGAGCACCCGGGGGAGCCCGCTCTGCACTGGGCACCGGCCGGACCGGCGAAGGCCTGGCTGCTGTGGGCCAGGCCCCAGGCCTCACCTCCTCCTGCCGGGGCGCTTCCGTGCGCAGGGTGGGGCGTGGGCGGCTCTCCATGGCGCCGCTGAGGCCTGTGCTGCCTGCCCAGGTCATCGAGGCCACCATCTCGAAGCACAGACAGAACAGCCAGACCTTCAGGGCCTTCAGCAGCGCCTTCAGCCCGGACGGGGACCGCCCCCGGACTCCAGAGCCCCCTGTGAGTGCCGGAGCCGGGCTGTGTGGGAGGGGCCTGGGTGGGCACGTGGCTGCTGGATGCTGGGCCTGGCAGCAGCCCGAGACCCAGACACCGGGTGGCACTCTTTTCTGCGGCCAAACTTCGCCTGCAGGCCGCCTGGCTGTCTTCCCACTATCTGCGCAGATCTGCCTCTGTCTGCCCTCGGGTTGCCTGGAGAGAAAGGGGTAGGGGCAGAGTTCTCTGCAGGACCGCTGTGGGAGGAGGGAGCTGGGGGCAGCTCTCTCTGGCTGCGATGGTCAGGGGCACGTCTGGGCTGACCATCGCTGCCCGGCTGTGGCGTGTGCCGAGTCTCCACTCATGCCAACATGTCCGTCCCTTTCAGACAACGAGCGCCAGCTCCCAGGAGCCTGCGGTGGCCACCGACGGCACAGGGGGTGCCGCAGGGGTGAGTGACCCCCAGCAGAGGCAGGAGGTGAGCAGGTGCCCAGGGATGACCCTGGTCTGCTGGTGGAGGGCGGGGCCGCTGGGACCTGCAGTGCACCCTCCGTGCGGGGAGGGCCCAGCTGCGTCTGGAGACCTGAGCTGGCCGCCTCGGTCTACGTGCGGAGTGAGTGTGAGCCGAGGCAGCCCGGCCCTGCAGGGCTCCACCGTCCAGAGGAGAGGCCACCCGTGGCTGGGAGTTCTGGCAGGCAGGGGCCCTGTCAGGAGGGCCTGTGGGTGCATCAGGGAAGGCTGCTTGGAGGTGGCCCAGGAGGATGGGCCGAGGGAGGCACGTGCCCAAGACGCCTATCCCTTGCCTGCTCGCCGTCCTCAGCCCGCGTGGCAGGCGGGAGAAGCCGCCAGGCTCCTCTCTGGAATGGCTGCTCACACACCCACTGGTCAGGCACGCAGCGGCCGAACAAACCACAGAGTGGCCTGCACCGCACCTCAGGACAGCCTCCCCTACTCGCTCCTGTCCTTGCCAGGGCACGTTCCGACAGCCTCCACGGCCCCCTGGCAGGGGCGCTGGCACCGCCCTCCCCACCGGCCCTCGAGGTGCAGACTTCCAGGGCGGGCCCGCCGCGCCGCACAGGGCTGAGCCCTGGACTCGGAGCAGGGCAGCCGTGGGCTGCGTGTCAGCGGGACCCGACCCCGAGGCAGGGAGAGAGGAGCAAGAGGTGGCCGGGGGTGGGCCCCCCAGAGAACGTTCTAGGTGGGAGGGACCCCTGCTGCCGAGTGAGCCCCTCCCCTCCACCCCAAACAGCCTGGCTGCCTCCACCCCTGCGGGCGGAGCGTGGGCGCCTGGAGGCCCCGAGGGACCCGTCCTCAGGGCGGTGCCCGGGCTGCCCGTGGGGACCTGGTGCTTCTGGAACCTTCCTCCCGCTCCCTGCTGCGAGACCAGCTGCTGAAGAGGGGGGCTGAGAGAAATGCCTGGCTTCGCCCCTCGGCCTCCGGCCTCCGCAGGGACCTCTCCGATCCACCCAGGCGTCCTCCAGGCGGCCTGCAGCGGCCTGAGGGGAGGGGAGGGGAGGAGGTGGGGGGAGAGGGGCTGGGACCAGGAGCTGGTGCCCCTGCACTTCGCTGAGAAGATGTGCCAGGCCTGGCCCTGTCGGACACCCGAACAGAGAACACGAGTGGCTCCTTGGCCAGCTGCTCAGAGAGCCTGGTCCGCACAGCGTGGCTGACCAGTGAGGCCGTGCAGAGACGCGGGGGGCTCCTGCCCACAGCCACTGGTCACCAGCCTGCCACCAATCCTGCTGACCTTGTGCGGGGAGCTGCCTGCAGGAAGTGCCTCCAGGTGTGCAGCGGTGGGCAGGTGCTGGGCAGCACACAATCGGCTTGGGTCGGACCGGCCCAGCGCGTGGCCGGCTCTGCTGCCGTCCATTGGCCCGCGGCAAAGGACAGCAGGGCCTCCTCCCCGCCCTGCCAGCACTCTGCGCCCGGAGCTGCCCCTGCTTCCGGCCAGGACGGGTCTCTGCTGGCCACAGGGGCCATGCTGCTGGCTGCACACCTGCCCACCACCACTTCTGCTCCCTCGGGGGGCTGGCCCTACACCCCGTCCATCCCCTTGGCGACACCCTGCTGGCCGGCTGGCCTCTCCATTCTCAGCAGTCGTGCGTGCTGCCCACCAGGCCAAGCGCTGTGATTGTGCCTTTGGACCACGTCTGGGCTCACTTCCCGGCCCTTCGTGCTCTCACCTGGAAAACAGGGGCTGTAGCCACTGCAGAGCGGCTGGGCGGCTCCGCCGTCCTTCCTTCTCTGGGCTCACCCCGCCCTCCTCACCGCAGGCCCCAGCCTCCTGGAGAGGTCTCCAGGGAAGGAGCCCCGATGGGGGAGGGCTCAGGGTGGCTGGCGGCCAAGGCCAGAGGTGGCCTCGGGGAGGACACCTGGCTGTGGGAAGCTTAGTTGTTTTTTGCTATTGTTGTTTTATTTTTATTTTTTTAAACCTTTATTGTTGAGAGTATTACAGATGTTCCTCTTTTTTCTCCTATTTCCCCCCTCTACCTGGTTCCCACCCCAGGCCTTCACCACCCTATTGTTTGTGTCTGTAGGTTATGTACATATGCATATAAAATCTTTGTTTAGCCGAAACCGGTTTGGCTCAGTGGTAGAGCTGAAAGGTCCCAGGTTCGATTCCGGTCAAGGGCATGTACGTTGGTTGCTGGCACATCCCCAGTAGGGGGTGTGCAAGAGGCAGCTGATTGATGTTTCTCTCTCATCGACATTTCTAGCTCTCTATCTCTCTCTCCCTTCCTCTCTGTAAAAAAATCAATAAAATATATGTTTTAAAATCTTTGTTTAATCTCTTCCTGCCCCACCCACTCTCTACCCTTTGAGAAGCATCAGTCTGTTCTATTTCCATGCCTCTGATTCTATTTTATTCACCAGTTTATTCTGTTCATTAGATTTCTTATTTATTTTGATTTTTAGATTCAATTATTGATAGGTAAGTATCAATATTGCCTTTTTATTGTTCATATTTTTTTTTTATCTTTTTCTTCTCCTTCTTCCTTTTCTTAAAGAATACCCAGCCACATTTCATGTAATAGTGGTTGGTGGTGATGAACTGCTTTAGCTTTTTCTTGTCTGTGAAGCTCTTTATCTGACCCTCAATTCTAAATAGGAGCTTTGCTGGATATAGCAATCTTGGTTGTAGGTCCTTGCCATTCATCACTTTGAATATTTCTTGCCATTCCCGGCATAGTTTCTGTTGAGAAATTAGCTGACAGTCATGTGGGTACTCCCTTGTAGGTACCTAACTGCTTTTCTCTTGCTGCTTGTAAGATTCTTTGTCTTTAGCCCTTGGGATTTTAATTGTGATGTGTCTTGGTGTGGTCCTTTTTGGATTCCTCTTGTTTGGGACTTTGTGCTTTCACCAGGTAGGGGACATTTCCTGTCATTATTTCTTCAAATGGGTTTTCAATATCTTGCTCTCTCTCTTCTCCTTCTGGTACCTCCATAATGTGAATGTTGGTACACTTGAAGTTTTCCCAGAAGCTCCTTACATTTTCTTCAGATTTTTAAATTCTTTTTTCTTTTTGTTCTTCTGATTATATGTTTTTTGCTTTCTCATATTTCAAATTGTTGATTTCATTCTCAGAATCCTCTACTCTACTGTTGAATCCATGTACATTATTCTTTATTTCAGTCAATGTATGCTTAATTTCTGACTGGTCCTTTTTCTTTAATTTTTTTGGCATTCTCACTAAGATCCTTGAAAGTCTCACTAAGTCCCTTGAAACTCTCATTAAGATCCTTGAAACCTTATAACTATAGTTTTTGAATTCTCTAGTAGTTTGCTTTCTTCCATTTCTTTTGTGACATGTTTCTTTGTCTCCACAATTTGGCTGCTTCCCTGGGTTTGTTTTTATGCATTGGGTAGAGCTGCTATAGCTCATGGACTTGGTAGAGTGGCCTTGTGTCCTAGATGTCCTATAGGGCCCAGTGGCTCTGCCTCCCCAGCCACCTGAGCTGGGCACTCTAAGTGCGCCCCAGTGTTGGCTGTGTGCACAGTCTTGTTGTAGTTGAGCCTTGATGGCTGTTGGTGTCACTGGGGGGAATTGACCTTCAGGCCCATTAGCTGTGAGGACCAGCTGGGAATACAGTGGAAGAGCAGCTGTGCATGAGACACCTCTATGGAGCAGGACTTGCTTCAGTGGGGCTTTGGAGCTCACTGAGTCTGCCCCTTGCGTGTGTCGCTTAGGGATGTGTAGAGTTGTAATCTGGTGTGGCCTGAAGCTGCCCACTGGGTGCACTGGCTATTGAATCTCCAGGGAAGTGCAAAGTCAGCCACTGCCTGGGGCCACCTGGCAGGAGCTACACAGGGATCTGAAGATGGCTGCTATTTGCTATTTGTATTGGGCTTAGAGGTGCCCAGATGAGGCCTGGCTGTGAACCAAAGCAGGCTGGTGCTAATGCCAGGTCTTGGACCTTTTATTGATAGGTCTGGGGCATGCTGTCACCAGCTGCAGCTTGTTTGAGAGATTTTAGCAAAGTCTGGAGCATGAGCAAGGACAGACAATTAATATCAAAAAGCCACTGCAAACACTGCAAACAGCTTGGATGGGGCTGCAAATTGGATGGGGCAGGGTCTCAGGGAATCCCCAGGGCAGAGTGAACTGTGTGTTCCAGGCTGGTGGAGACTCAGATATGGCTGCCAGTCAGCTCTGTGACACAGGAGGTCCCAGCACAGGAACAGTGACCCCTGTGAGCACCCTTGTCTGGGAGAAAGCCACCCCCAAGTTCCTGCCCTGATGCCACCTCATTGTATCTGGGTCCCTCAGAGCTTTGCCCTGGTGCTGGAGTTTAGAGGAAGAGATATCTTGTCAGTTCAGTTCATGCACTATCCCTTTAAGAGGAACACCAGGGTCTCCAGCAGCCTCTGTGTCACTGAGCCTCGATCCTCATTGGTTTTTACAGTCTGAAGTTATGGGGCTTCTCTTCTCAGCTCTGGAACCCGGGGCTGGGGGCTGGGACCCCTGGCTCCTCATGGGGGCAGGGAGCTCCGCAGATATGATCTCCCACCCAATTAAAAAAGTGGCACACGTGTGTGCCGGCCAGCTCGTTCCACACTCCACCTTCCTACCAGCCTCAGGTGCTTTCTTCTTTGCTTCTCTATTGTAGGACTTCCATTCAGCCCGCTGTCAGGAGGTTCTGGGTGACGGCTTTCTGTATTTTAGTTGTAATTTGGTTGTGGGAGGTGGTGAGCACCGGTGTTTACCTACACTGCCATCTTGGTTGTTCTGAGAAGTGTTAATTTTGCTTACAGTGTTTGTGATGCCCATTCTCCCCTTAGCAGGGCCTCTGTGGGATGGAGTGAGAGGGGCCCAGGGCTGTCTGCACCCAGTGTCTGTGGGACAGGGCGTCATGACGTGGAGGGGAGCTGAGCCTCGGAGGAGCCAGCCTGTCCCTGGGCACCTTGTGCCAGGCTGTGCAGGCATCACAGGGGCTGGGAGGATAATGAGTGGGGACCACACCGCTGGGAAGTACAGTCAAAATTTGCACCCAGGTCTTAGTATCAGTCAGCTTGAGCTTCTGTAACAAAATACCACAGACCGGTGACCTGGAGAGGCATTCATTCTCTCGGCTCTGGAGGCTGGAAGTCCGTTTGCCAGTCCCAGGGGCAGCACCGCCATGTATGTGCCATGAGGAGTGTGTGTCAAGCTCGGGGCCCCGTGAAGGACAGAGCGGTGTGAGGGCGCGTAGCCGATGCTCAGGACAGACCCCTGAGAGCCTCACTGTGTGATGGGAGAGGCGGGCCGCCATGGCCACGCTCCTACTGCCTTCCCTGTCTACTTCGGGGTTTCCCCTGCGGGTGCTGCCCAGGCTTCACACAGCCGCCCCCACGGTGCCGGGCTGACTGTGCCCTGTGTCTCCCACAGTTCGAGCCCAGGAGGGGGTCCTCCAAGACCAGGCGGGACAAGGAGAAGCAGAGCTGCAGAGGCTGCGGCGAGACCTTCAACTCAATCACCAAGAGGAGGCACCACTGCAAGCTGTGTGGGGCGGTGAGCTGGGCAGTGGGGCTAGCCTGCCATTCTCACGCCTCCTCCCAGCCCTTCTCCCAGCCCTCCTCCCAGCCCTCCTCCCCGCCCTCCTCCCAACCCTCCTCCCCGCCCTCCTCCCAGCCCTCCTCCCAGCTCTCCTCCCAGCCCTCCTCCCAGCCCTCCTCCCAGCCCTCCCTCCAGCCCTCTTCCCAGCTCTCCCTCCAGCCTCCTCCCAGCCCTCCTCCCTGCCCTCCTCTCTGCCCTCCTCCCAGCCCTCCTTCCAGCCCTCTTCCCCGCCCTCCTCCCAACCCTCCTCCTACCTCTCCTCCCAGCCCTCCTCCCAGCCCTCCTCCCAGCTCTCCCTCCAGCCTCCTCCCAGCCCTCCTCCCAGCTCTCCTCCCAGCCCTCCTCCCAGCTCTCCTCCCAGCCCTCCTCCCCGCCCTCCTCTCCGCCCTCCTCCCAGCCCTCCTCCCAGCCCTCCTTCCAGCCCTCCTCCCCACCCTCCTCCCAACCCTCCTGTACCTCTCCTCCCAGCCCTCCTCCCAGCCCTCCTCCCAGCTCTCCCTCCAGCCTCCTCCCAGCTCTCCTCCCAGCCCTTCTCCCAGCCCTCCTCCCAGCTCTCCCTCCAGCTCTCCTCCCAGCCCTCCTCCCAGCCCTCCTCCCAGCTCTCCTTCCATCCCTCCTCCCAGCTCTCCCTCCAGCCCTCCTCCCAGCCCTCCTCCCAGCTCTCCTCCCAGCTCTCCTCCCAGCCCTCCTCCCAGCTCTCCCTCCAGCCTCCTCCCAGCTTTTCTCCCAGCCCTCCTCCCAGCTCTCCCTCCAGCCTCCTCCCAGCCCTCCTCCCAGCTCTCCCTCCAGCCTCCTCCCAGCTCTCCTCCCAGCCCTCCTCCCAGCCCTCCTCCCAGCTCTCCCTCCAGCCTCCTCCCAGCTCTCCCTCCAGCCTCCTCCCAACTCTCCCTCCAGCCTCCTCCCAGCTCTCCTCCCAGCTCTCCTCCCAGCTCTCCTCCCAGCCCTCCTCCCAGCTCTCCTCCCAGCCCTCCTTCCAGCCTCCTCCCAGCTCTCCTCCCCACCCTCCTCCCAGCTCTCCCTCCAGCTTCCTCCCAGCCCTCCTTCCAGCCCTCCTCCCAACCCTCCTCC